TAGACTTCGAATGTGTCTCACTTATTTACGTGTCCAGCATCATGGGGATGTTTAAATGTGGAAGAAAAAGGGTGGAGGTAACTGAACACTGCAGAAGTAGGGTGGAGGTGGCTGAACACTGCAGAAGTAAGGTTGAAGGGTTTGAACACTGCAGAAGTAGAGAGGGCGCGTTCAAACACAACACGCACACAAATAGGCAAATTTCCATTCAGCAGAACACGTAAAAGTTTACTGAAGACACCTGGACGTGAGGTGCGAGGAATTCCAGAGACAAAGGTCTGTGCGAGAGCCCCTCACAACACACTCAACAACACACTCATCTGGTATAAAGACACGTAAAACAGAGCAAACCTCTCGCAAGGTTATGTACACCCAAGTGTATACGTTTCAGTTTATATACACTAGAAGTTTACTTTATTTCCTAGTTAAGGGGTTAAAGTGTCCTTGACTGGTGGTGAATAGGTTGCATGCAGCCTTAATGACCCTTAGTGTTGTTGGTGGGATTTAAGCTCAATTAACCGAGCCTTTATTGTAGCCCTCTAATATAAAGGTTTCCGCTGCATTGCGCCTCTTTGTGCTCAGTTATGAACATTATGTACAAGTACTACAGCAGCTCTTCTGGCCATACTAGGCACCTCCTTCTCAGACCCAATCGTTTTTACTCGTATATTTTCCCAGCCTATTTTTTTAAAGCTAGCCATCGTGTTAGCTTTGATGGCTCTACCTGACACTGCTTCACTCGTTGACAACTCTACTGCTAAACCAGTACTTTCCTGTATTCTTTCGAAATCTGACTTCATTTTACATAAATCCACTATTTCAAGTTCTTTCTTATTTAGATGTCCCTTGATATTTTACAGTATCTAAGAGTCAGCAAGGACCCCACTGGAGATAAGTCACTTTGTTTCACTTTGTGGGTTATTGTAGGTAATTTACACATGTTTAACTAAACAAGTGCAAAATCTTCAACTGTGCAATGTACCTGATTGAACTTACCAGCACTTCACTGTGGTCTATATATTAGTATTTTTGCAGTTGTATACAATGCGCGCGTTGCCACAGTCAACAACACATCGAGCAACGTCATCGCCTGGATCACATCTGCGGTGGTGAGGCTCTCCTAACACACTCACCCAATGATTACAAAAGCAATGGCCCCATTTTGGCCTCGCAATCACCAACAGTCTGGCTGGTCAGAGACCGGGGCCACCATTAACGGACGGAGACTAGAGCCGAGTAATCTACACGGGTTTAGCGCTCCATAAAACGTAAATAAAACAACTTTATTATTGATACATTCGGAGAACGAAAGGCAATCGAAATCTAACGAATGGGAGGACAGGTCAGATTCCTTGGATCAAGAGCCCATTACCGGCAACAAGACACCTCCGAAGAGGGAACTCGGCCAGTTACCAAACTAATCCTTAAATTCCACTTCAGTAATCCTTAAATTCTACTTTACTGATCCTTAAATTCCGCTTTACTGTTCCTTAAATTACTCTTTATTTATTCTTAAATTTCATTTTATTAAATCTTAAATTCCACTTCAGTGACCCTTTATTGATACTTAGATTACACCTTGATACCTCACTTCCACCAAGTGCCAGATCAACCAGGCTATGATGGCTGTGTGGGCCAACCATCCACCACCACAACAGCCTGGTTGACCAGACAACATGACCTCAGGTCAGGCTGCGAGAGTAGGGAAGCTCTCGAACCGGTTACAAATTACATTATTGGTATACACTACGGACAAGTTGATGAATAAGACAAGACAGAAGAAGCAGTAATTCTGAGGTGATCAGCCCCTCAGCCTCGTATGGGGAAGTCAGTCCCTCAGACGTTGAGGGACTGACCATCTCAAAGTTATTTCTGTCTCCGCCTGTATTCGACCGAAGAAGCCTGTTGTCCAGGCGAAAGTATCGCCAATAAAGATACACAAGACTTTCACATGTGTCTTATTCATCAACATGTTGTGGGTGTGCACTGCTACACTGTTGTGGGTGTGTACTGCTACACTGTTGTGGGTGTGCACTGCTACACTGTTGTGGGTGTGCACTGCTACACTGTTGTGGGTGTGTACTGCTACACTGTTGTGGGTGTGCACTGCTACACTGTTGTGGGTGTGCACTGCTACGCTGTTGTGGGTGTGCACTGCTACACTGTTGTGGGTGTGTACTGCTACACTGTTGTGGGTGTGCACTGCTACACTGTTGTGGGTGTGCACTGCTACACTGTTGTGGGTGTGCACTGCTACACTGTTGTGGGTGTGTACTGCTACACTGTTGTGAGTGTGCACTGCTACACTGTTGTGGGTGTGCACTGCTACACTGTTGTGGGTGTGTACTGCTACACTGTTGTGGGTGTGTACTGCTACACTGTTGTGGATGTGCACTGCTACACTGTTGTGGGTGTGTACTGCTACACTGTTGTGGGTGTGTACTGCTACACTGTTGTGGGTGTGCACTGCTACACTGTTGTGGGTGTGTACTGCTACACTGTTGTGGGTGTGCACTGCTACACTGTTGTGGGTGTGCACTGCTACACTGTTGTGGGTGTGTACTGCTACACTGTTGTGGGTGTGTACTGCTACACTGTTGTGGGTGTGCACTGCTACACTGTTGTGGGTGTGTACTGCTACACTGTTGTGGGTGTGCACTGCTACACTGTTGTGGGTGTGTACTGCTACACTGTTGTGGGTGTGCACTGCTACACTGTTGTGGGTGTGTACTGCTACACTGTTGTGGGTGTGTACTGCTACACTGTTGTGGGTGTGTACTGCTACACTGTTGTGGGTGTGCACTGCTACACTGTTGTGGGTGTGCACTGCTACACTGTTGTGGGTGTGTACTGCTACACTGTTGTGGGTGTGCACTGCTACACTGTTGTGGGTGTGTACTGCTACACTGTTGTGGGTGTGTACTGCTACACTGTTGTGGATGTGCACTGCTACACTGTTGTGGGTGTGCACTGCTACACTGGTGTGGGTGTGCACTGCTACACTGTTGTGGGTGTGCACTGCTACACTGTTGTGGGTGTGTACTGCTACACTGTTGTGGGTGTGCACTGCTACACTGTTGTGGGTGTGCACTGCTACACTGGTGTGGGTGTGCACTGCTACACTGTTGTGGGTGTGCACTGCTACACTGGTGTGGGTGTGCACTGCTACACTGGTGTGGGTGTGCACTGCTACACTGTTGTGGGTGTGCACTGCTACACTGTTGTGGGTGTGCACTGCTACACTGTTGTGGGTGTGCACTGCTACACTGTTGTGGGTGTGCACTGCTACACTGTTGTGGGTGTGCACTGTTACACTGTTGTGGGTATGCACTGCTACGCTGTTGTGGGTGTGCACTGCTACACTGTTGTGGGTGTGCACTGCTACACTGTTGTGGGTGTGCACTGCTACACTGTTGTGGGTGTGCACTGCTACACTGTTGTGGGTGTGTACTGCTACACTGTTGTGGGTGTGCACTGCTACACTGCTGTGGGTGTGCACTGCTACACTGTTGTGGGTGTGCACTGCTACACTGTTGTGGGTGTGCACTGCTACACTGTTGTGGGTGTGCACTGCTACACTGTTGTGGGTGTGCACTGCTACACTGTTGTGGGTGTGTACTGCTACACTGTTGTGGGTGTGCACTGCTACACTGTTGTGGGTGTGCACTGCTACACTGTTGTGGGTGTGCACTGCTACACTGGTGTGGGTGTGCACTGCTACACTGTTGTGGGTGTGCACTGCTACACTGGTGTGGGTGTGCACTGCTACACTGTTGTGGGTGTGCACTACTACAAGCACTGTTGTGGGTGTGCACTGCTACAAGCACTGTTGTGGGTGTGCACTGCTACAAGCACTGTTGTGGGTGTGCACTGCTACAAGCACTGTTGTGGGTGTGCACTACTACAAGCACAGTTGTGGGTGTGCATTGCTACAAGCACTGTTGTGGGTGTGCACTACTACAAGCACTGATGTGGGTGTGCACAGCTACAAGCACTGTTGTGGGTGTGCACTACTGCAAGCACTGTTGTGGGTGTTCACTGCTAAAAGCACTGTTGTGGGTGTGCACTACAAGCACTGTTGTGGGTGTGCACTGCTACAAGCACTGTTGTGGGTGTGCACTGGTACAAGCACTGTTGTGGGTGTGCACTGCTACAAGCACTGTTGTGGGTGTGCACTGCTACAAGCACTGTTTTGGGTGTGCACTGCTACAAGCACTGTTGTGGGTGTGCACTGCTACAAGTACTGTTGTGGGTGTGCACTGCTACAAGCACCGTTGTGGGTGTGCACTGCTACAAGCACTGTTGTGGGTGTGCACTGCTACAAGCACTGTTGTGGGTGTGCACTGCTACAAGCACTGTTGTGAGTGTGCACTGCTACAAGCACTGGTGTGAGTGTGCATTGCTACAAGCATTGTGGGTGTGCACTGCTACAAGCACTGTTGTGGGTGTGCACTGCTACAAGCACTGTTGTGGGTGCGCACTACATTGTGGGTGCGCACTACTACAAGCATTGTTGTGGGTGTGCACTACAAGAATTGTTGTGGGTGCACACTACTACAAGCATTTTTGTGGGTGCGCACTACAAGCATTGTTGTGAGTGCACACTACAAGCATTGTTGTGGGTGTGCACTACTACAAGCATTGTTGTGAGTGTGCACTACAAGCATTTTTGTGGGTGCGCACTACAAGCATTGTTGTGGGTGTGCACTACTACAAGCATTGTTGTGGGTGCACACTACAAGCATCGTTGTGGGTGCGCACTGCTACAAGCACTGTTGTGGATGCGCACTACAAGCATTGTTGTGGGTGTGCATTACAAGCACTGTTGTGGGTGCGCACTGCAAGCATTGTGGGTGCGCAATACTACAAGCACTGTTGTGGGTGCGCACTACTACAAGCATTGTTGTGGGTGCGCACTACAAGCACTGTTGTGGGTGCGCACTACTACAAGCACTGTTGTGGGTGCGCACTACTACAAGCATACAGATGAGGGTACTCACTCGGTCGCTGGATGAGCTGGGCGTTACTGGCGGTGAGTGTGGCGGCCTGAGGGAGATAACACAGTCTTAGACAACTAATACAATTAATCTGATAGGCGAGTACAAATAGGAAGCGCGTCTGCCTGGCGCTCAGGAGTCGGAGGATCGAGCCCCCACCACGCCTTGCGCTGAATGACCCACATGGGTTTAATGCTTAGCATGAATTAAATAATAAAAAACAGATTATATACACTGAGAGAGATGTATTAACCTCAGTTTAGAGATGCTGAGAGTTGGTTTTAATCCATATTTAAGTGATTAAAGTATTCGTGACTGGTGGTGAAAAAGGTTACGTGCAGCTGTAGATAAAAAAATCATTGACCACCACCTTGATGCCTAAGGACTCTTGATCTAAGGAACTGTAACTACCCTCTCATTCCTCGGATCATACCTCATTATTTACCATTCCCCAGGAGCTTGATCCCTCTACTGGTTTGACGCATACCCGTGAATAAATTAGTCATTGTAGTTGATAGACTTTAAGCCCCATTAACCAACCATCTACATTAATATATTCATGGGTATGCGCTAAACCAGTAGAGGGATCAAGCGCCTGGGGAATGGAAAGTAATGAGGTATGATCCGAGGAAAGAGAATGTAGTTCCAATTCCTTAGATCAAGAGTCGTTAGTCATCAAGGCGGTTTTCGCTGTTTTTTTCTGAAATATGTGACTCGTTTGGCATTAATCATCCCTCTCCTTCCCTTGTTCCAGGTCACTCTGCTATCTAACCATCTGTCCTTGTCTACCCTGGAGATATCTCTTGAGTATCTCGCATGTCGTGATCATGTCTCTGGATCTTCACTCGGCTAGTAGCGAGATTAGGAATTCCTCTGCACCGAGACCAATATGTGGGAATCCTCTTGTCATTTCCTGGCTTTTTTTTTTTTGGTGTGTGTACTCGCCTATTTGTGTTGCAGGGGTCGATTTATAGCTCCTGGCCCCGCCCCTTTATTGATCGCTACTGTGTGTGTGTGTGTGTGTGTGTGTGTGTGTGTGTGTGTGTGTGTGTGTGTGTGTGTGTGTGTGTGTGTGTGTGTGTGTGTGTGTGTGTGTGTGTGTGAGGGGCCGGACTTGTCTCTTGTGTAGTTTACATATATCTTTCACCAGACCTTGCACAATATTTGTCTTAAACTCAGTCACCATATTCCAAGGCAAGACGACTTTCCTCCCACCGCTCGAGAATGACGGTAGTCCTGGATACAACACTTTCCATTAATAACTACCCCGGTCTTCAGCAACTCGTACTGCCGGATGAACAAGACACATGTGTGACACTAGTTCCGCAACGTAAGGTACTTGTGTCACATACGTCAACTTGTCGGTGTTGCAAATCAATAATCAAACAAACTTTGTCTTTCCGCAGTTTACAAAACGTACGTTACATGTAATTAAATGTTGTTAAGCACCAAAGAAAGTCGTAATGATACGTCGTCTTGATCACGCGCCCATCGTTAAGAATTCTGGGAAATATCTTGAAAATATGAAACAGTAATTTCCTTCTGGGTGAAAAATGCACCACGAAGCTAAAAGAGATACGATTTTGTTCGGATTTTTAACCACAGAGTGTTAGCCATCCATGATAACCCAAGAAGGTCAGTGCTTCATCGAGGACTGACTGTCTTATTTCCATTGGGGTCCTTTAATCTTGTCCCCCAGGATGCGACCCACACCAGTCGACTAACACCCAGGTACCTACTAGCTTGTTAGGTGAACGGGACAACAGGTGTAAGGAAACATGCCCAACGTTTCTATCTTTGCCGGGGATCGAACCACAGACACTCAATGTGAGAGGCGAGAAAACTACCTACCAGGCCACATAGAAACAGCTGTGTGTTTGTGGCACGCACGTGAATGACCATACAGTCATAAACACGCTGTTTTAAGGAAATGGGGCCATTTGTAATCCTTCAAATTGCAGAAAACGGGTGGAGCAGTGATCTTGCAATGGTTAAAGCAGTGACTGCTGCGACGGGTAGAACAGTGACGTTGCAACGGGTAGACCCGTGACAGATGCGACAGGTCGAACAGTGACCGTAGCTACGGGTAGAACAGTGACCTCTCTGTCAGACAAACACTATCACTGGACAGTGGACATGTATTTGTGGCAAACGTTGCCCTGCTGTCATCATAGTCATGATGACACTGATTAAGTCAGTTTCCTTTCTCCGCTTAGCTTGTATTATCCCATCTTTCGTTATTTAAAAGCATAAAAGATGAGCACTGCAGTAGGCCTACTGGCCTGAAACACGTATTCCTCTACAGCAGTGTACTTGGCTGGTAAGTAGTACTCTACGATCGTGGGTACCACGCAATACGTGTTAACTCTACGACACTAAGATGGTTATATATGAGGGGAACAATTTTCATTGTATTAGTTTCTAGCTAATTCTACGAATAATAACAGTCATTATAGGCAAATCTAGTTAAGACTAAATTTACAAGAGCTACTCTTAGGGGACACCGGTCCTCGACCGAGCACAGACCACATTTACCGTGAATATAATGTAAAATCATTGAGACACCGGCTCACAGTCACGCGTGCTGGGGAACATAACTGTAATGCTGGAAGAACCACATGAAAAAAAACGAACAACCAACAGTAAGCGTTCGGTCAACAAAAGACATTCGATGCAAACAACGGAAAACAAAGAATTATAGACTTTTTCTCTGGTTAACATTCTGACAACGACAAAAACTACGGTTGCAGTCTTGCAGACATTCTAGCCACGGCCACACGACTCTCCCTCCTAAGAGAATAAACACAATCCTTGTGTCTATAGTGTGCCCTCCTTGTCGGTGCTGGATGTTCAGCCGTGATGAACCACACACACAAAGCCACTGTGTTAGTCTTTGTTCAAAGCTTTTTACTGGCAGTATTCGCGATTTTCAAGGTTCGTTCGCTTTTGACACAAGAGCAGAACGTATTTTGTTTTTTGGTGATGCAGGTCCTCCTGTCAAATTGTAAGCTGCATTCAGATCATCCTGTTATATTGTAAGCTGCATTCAGATCCTGTCATATTGTAAGCTGCATTCAGATCATCCTGTCATATTGTAAGCTGCATTCAGATCATCCTGTCATATTGTAAGCTGCATTCAGATCATCCTGTCATACTGTAAGCTGCACTCAGACCATCCTGTCATACTGTAAGCTACACTCAGATCATCCTGTCTTATTGAAAGCTACACTCAGACCAACTTGTCTTACTGTAAGCTGCACTCAGACCATCCTGTCATACTGTAAGCTGCACTCAGACCATCCTGTCATACGGTAAGCTGCACTCAGACCATCCTGTCATACTGTAAGCGGCACTCAGACCATCCTGTCATACTGTAAGCTGCACTCAGACCATCCTGTCATACTGTAAGCTACACTCAGATTATTATGTCATACTGCAAGCTGCACTCAGATCATGTCATATTGTAAGTTACACTCAGACCATCCTGTCTTACTATAAGCTACACTCAGACCATCCTGTCTTACTGTAAGATGCACTCATACCATCTTGTCTTACTGTAAGCCACACTCAGATCATCATGTCATACTGTAAGCTCCACTCAGACCATCCTGTCATACTGTAAGCCACACTCAGACCATCCTGTCATACTGTAAGCCACACTCAGACCATCCTGTCTTACTGTAAGCCACACTCAGACCATCCTGTCTTACTGTAAGCTACACTCAGACCATCCTGTCTTACTGTAAGCTACACTCAGGCCATCCTGTCTTACTGTAAGCTACACTCAGACCATCCTGTCTTACTGTAAGCCACACTCAGACCATCCTGTCTTACTGTAAGCTACACTCAGGCCATCCTGTTATACTGTAAGCTACACTCAGGCCATCCTGTCATACTGTAAGCTACACTCAGACCATCCTGTTATACTGTAAGCTACACTCAGATCATCATGTCATACTGTAAGCTACACTCAAACCATCCTGTCATACTGTAAGCCACACTCAGACCATCCTGTCTTACTGTAAGCTACACTCAGACCATCCTGTTATACTGTAAGCTAGACTCAGACCATCCTGTCATACTGTAAGCCACACTCAGACCATCCTGTCATACTGTAAGCTACATTCAGACCATCCTGTTATACTGTAAGCTAGACTCCGACCATCCTGTCTTACTGTAAGCTACACTCAAACCATCCTGTTATACTGTAAGCTACACTCAGGCCATCCTGTCATACTGTAAGCTACACTCAGACCATCCTGTTATACTGTAAGCTAGACTCAGACCATCCTGTTATACTGTAAGCTACACTCAGACCATCCTGTCATACTGTAAGCCACACTCAGACCATCCTGTCATACTGTAAGCTACACTCAGACCATCCTGTTATACTGTAAGCTAGACTCAGACCATCCTGTCTTACTGTAAGCTACACTCAGATCATCATGTCATACTGTAAGCTACACTCAGATCATCATGTCATACTGTAAGCTACACTCAAACCATCCTGTCATACTGTAAGCCACACTCAGACCATCCTGTTATACTGTAAGCTAGACTCCGACCATCCTGTCATACTGTAAGCTACACTCAAACCATCCTGTCATACTGTAAGCCACACTCAGACCATCCTGTCATACTGTAAGCTACACTCAGACCATCCTGTTATACTGTAAGCTAGACTCCGACCATCCTGTCTTACTGTAATTTACACTCAGAACATCCTCTCTTATTGTAAGCTACACTCAGACCATCCTGTCTTATTGTTAAGTTGCACTCAGACCATCCTGTCTTATTGTTAAGTTGCACTCAGACCATCCTGTCTTATTGTTAAGTTGCACTCAGACCATCCTGTCTTATTGTTAAGTTGCACTCAGACCATCCTGTCTTATTGTTAAGTTGCACTCAGACCATCCTGTCTTATTGTTAAGTTGCACTCAGACCATCCTGTCTTATTGTTAAGTTGCACTCAGACCATCCTGTCTTATTGTTAAGTTGCACTCAGACCATCCTGTCTTATTGTTAAGTTGCACTCAGACCATCCTGTCT